AGATCTTCTTTAGTCTTCAAATCCGAAGATCAGCGGACCTTCCTTGACTTGCGAGGAGAGGTGGATCTGGAGGGGGAGGACAAATACTCCTCATTCTTCTGCTGGTCGAACTCGTATTCGACCTCTTCTTCAACCGGGACGAGAATCCGAGGTTACGACACATCAGCCTTTGTAGAAAGGCTGTCGGCTCTCACTGTGGTCGCCAGCGTGTTTGGGTGGAAAATTAATTTCTTTGATGAGTCCATTACAGCTTCAAACACTTACAATAAACTCAGAAAAATATAACCTTTTTATAAGACTTTTAAATCAAAAGTTACAATGTTCTCTCAAACTACACGCAATAGAAGTTTATTACCTATTGCTTGTGCGGGATCGTTGCCGGTGCTGGGGTTTATCCGTGGACCGTCTACGGATCAACTCCGGTTAGCAGAAGTTGGATGATCAATGCTCTCACTTCACGAATGAAGTAATTGCAGTAGCGGTGATTTTGACTAGGCAAAATCATGACTCTTCTCCTGATTTAAGACTAAGCTTAAATCCGGAGGATTAGGAAATGAGTCTCAGATCTCTCGAACTCTTACTTTGTTGAAGAACTTCGCCAAGATTTGCTAACTCTCTGAAATTCGTGCTCCAATCTCCAATTTGACAGCACTTCGTTCTCTTGATTTCCAGATCCATAAAATAGAGGCCTATGGCTCATATTTATAGGCCTCGGATGCGGTTATTTGGATGAGACTGATGGATTTCTCTGTATCTTCAGTTAACAACTGTACAACCACAATATCAGATCAGTTAGAACGCCCAGAAACACTCAAATCCCAAAAGAATCCGTCAAAGAACCGAAAAACCGATTTTTGGCCGAACTGCCATTTGGTGGCTTGACCATCGCCGAGCCACCAAATGGTGGCTCGGCCCATGGCGGAGCCACTGGCTCGACCGGATCGTTTTGACGCGATGCGGTCGCCAGAGTCTTTCTTGGGTTTGACTCGTTTCGTTGTTTGTGTATTTCGTTGTTTCGCCGATCAGTACACTTCCTTGACTCGTTTCGTGCGTTTCGTGAACACGCGGATCGCTTGACGGTGACTAGTGAGTGTACGGAATTGTCGGTGAGCGCACAGGGTGTTTGGTTCGTCGTTCCGGTGACCGTTGAGCGTACGGGCTACTTGACGATGGCCGATAAATACGCGGGTCACTCGGATAAACCTTCTCGACTTGGATGATGACATTTATCGCCTCTTCTTCATCTCGAGTTGTATTCAGGAACCTATAGGCATTTTTAGACGCCTACACTCCACATTTCAGGCTCTCGGGTAAACAATCTCCCACTACAGCGGAAAATAAGGCACACATGGAGCGTGTTCCTTATGCTAATGCAGTTGGCAGTTTGATGTATGCTATGGTGTGTACATGTCCAGATATTTCACATGCGGTTAGTGTGGTCAGCAAGTTCATAGCGAATCCGGGAAAGACGCACTAGGAAGCGGTGAAGTGGGTCCTGAGGTACTTGAAGGGTACCGCGGATATGAGTCTGTGTTTTGGTGGAGAGACATGTCAGATTGATGGATTTGTGGACTCAGATTATGCGAGTGATCTAGACAGACGGCGATCTACTACTGGTTATGTATTCAGTATACATGGTGCTCCAGTTAGTTGGCGATCAATGTTACAGGCTACAGTGGCACTTTCTACTACAGAGGCTGAGTACATGGCCATGGCAGAGGGAGTGAAGGAAGCATTGTGGTTGTGGGGTCTGTTAGACAATTTGGGGATTGAGCAGGATAGCGTGAACTTGTGGTGCGATAGTCAGAGTGCGATTCATTTAGCTAAGAATCAAGTTCATCATGCTCGTACCAAGCATATCGATGTCAGGTATTATTTTGTGTGGGATGTCATAGAGGAAGGTGATATTTCTCTCATGAAGGTGCACACAAACGAGAACCCAGCAGACATGTTAACCAAGGTGGTCACAGGTAGCAAGTTTCAGCATTGCTTGGACTTGCTTAATATCAGCCCGTGCTGATCTGCCCAACAAGGCAATAGCAGAACTACGGTTAGCTTGATCCCGGTAGAGGGTACGTAGGCAGCCCGCGGTATAGTGGCGCAGTTGGTTTAGTCTAGGTGGTGTTCGCAGTGTTATTCTGGTGTTCGTCTAAAATTTGAGGTTTATCAAATGATGGACGATGTGGAGAATTGAAGATGAACGAACCTGGGTGAGAGGAAGAGGCGAGCGGATCTCGCCTGAATCGAGGAGCTCGAGCTCGCCTGTCTGCGTGGGAGCTCGCCTGGAGGGTTGAGGTGAGCGGATCTCGCCTACGTGTGGAGCTCGCTTGCGGGCGAGTGTGGCGAAGCTAGGGTCACCTGATGAAAACCTCACTTGGGGGCTTTGGAGAGGCGAGGGCGAGTTTCGTGCTCGCTTGCAGTGGGGATCGAGGAGCTCGCCTGCTGCTTCGCTAAACTCGCTTGTTCGAATGTGGGGTTCGGTTTCGCCTGTTCCCCCTAACTTCGCCTGATGGAGTTCAAGATGGTGGAAGCCAGCTGGAGCTAGCTGGCATCTGAACTGCCCTAGGGTTTCCCTATAAAAGGGAAACCCTGTTCACGGAGCTAGGAGGCTAATCTTCAGCGATTTTAACAGAAGAATATTTCTTCTGTGGTGGAGGCGGCTTTAACTCCAGTGGAAATTCTCAGATTAATTTTAGAATCAATTTTTCGGTCAAGAAAAATTGCTCTATTCCTGTAGCATCTACTACAGTGAACAAAGTTGGTGTTGTGAGAGCTCTAGTTGGAGATTCTCACTTTTATAAGCTTTGTAATTTCTTGTGGTTAAATAAGAAATTAATTGTGTGGCCTCCATGGACGTAGGCAAGTTTGCCGAACCACGTATATCTGTTGTCCCGTCTCATTTACTTACTGTTTATTTGTGTATTCGTTATTGCTTGTATCAGTTAGTTTGAGTTTGGATTAAACTCGAGCTAGGATTGTTTTTCCTCTTGGAGTTATTTAGCTTCCGCGGCGGTGAGGGCGACACGCGCTCCCAGCAAAAGTGCAATTAAAATACATATCCACCAATTAGTTAAACATGCCCTGTGTCTCAAGGAAATACTATAATGTTGCAGCTGGTTGCATTATTAGATATGAAAACCGCTCCCCTCAATAAATCAGCACATCAGAAGAACTGGCAACATCACCCGCCTTAGAAAGAAGAAAGAGTAATCATGGAATGCTTCTCGTAAAAAAATAAGTTGAGTTGTAATCGTCTATGGCTTGAAAGGTGCAAAAACAACAACTGAATTATGGCCTCCAAAACCAAAGGAATTTGAAATAGCTGCCAAAGAAACAGCGCACTGTTAATATCTTGAAAAATGATAACAATATGAAATTAAATTATGCTGGGAAAAAATTTGATAACAAGAAAAATGATAGTAAGATGACTACAAACTTACCAACATTGACTTCATGTTGCTTCTTCACATTTGGTACTGTATCAATTGTGACCTGGGGCTCCAAGTTCTGTATAAAAATGGCAACAAATGGGAGTAAGAAAAGGTTTATAAACATCAATAGAAGAAATGGGCTTAGAAACTTGAGGAAGGTATCAGCGTTGGTATAGGGAGTTCATACATCTTGGTTGATAGTGGGGTGAAGCCAGCCAGTGTTGATAGCTTTGATTGTTGCGATGGCCTCTATTCCTCCAGCAGCGCCAAGACAATGTCCGATCATTGACTAAGGGTAAAACAAGGCGATGAATGAGCACCAGAAAATAATCCACTGGGTTACCATCTCCATCCATGTACTGAATGGAACTTTGAGGGAAATTTTAAGGAAAGATCCTCAACATTAATTTACTAGTTTCATCCAGCACGTATAAATTCATTACACCGCTTCAATAATTAAAGCCACGTATTCTGACAATTCATACAATAGTTGCTTACTTTAGTTCCGTTCATTTTAAGTTCTGACGTCTCCTTGAAAACCTTCTTGATGGCATTAACCTCTGCCAAATCTCCAGCAAGTGTTGATGTTGCATGACAGTTAGCATAATTCACCTGAGAAATATAAAGATTTCCTCGTCATCAAGAATCCACCATGCCACAAAAATCGTACAAGGGGATATGAAGATATGAGTTACGCATGTAGTATTGCCAACCTCTTCCGGGGACACTCTGGCATCTTGCAAGCTTTTCTCTATGCAGGAAGAAACGCCAAGACCATCAGATCGAGGATCAGTCATATGATGAGCATCACATGTTATCGCCCCCCCGAGGTACTCGGCTATTATAGTTGCTCCCCTCTTTCTTGCATGTTCCAAGCTCTCCATAATCTATGTCAAAATTCACAAATTAATCAACTTCAATTCTAAGTTCTATTCTCATTAGAACTAAACACAATAATGAGTGTTAATTACAGGTGCATCCCCTGTTATCATCCCTCATCTTTGATGTCAGCGGATAGATTCCTTGTCCCGACTGACATTAAGAATAGTCTGCCTTTCATGCGATAGATCTCACTGACAGATCATTCATGGCGTTATGCATTCAAACCTATACTTTGCTATGTGTCCATTACAGGAGGCATATTTGCAATTAATCCTGATGATAATGTAGATAAAACTTGATCTAAGACAATATGATTACCAGTACGCCGGCCCCCTCTCCCATGACAAATCCATCCCTGCCCTTATCCCAAGGCCTAGAAGCCCTCTCAGGCTCGTCATTCCTCTGCGAAAGTGCCCTACAAGCAATGAAACCACCAATTCCAGTAGGCAAAATTGCTGCTTCAGTCCCTCCAGCGACCATAATATCAGCATCTCCTCTCCTTATGTGGTTTGCTGCAGCATAGAAGCAGTAGTTTGCGGTCGCACATGCCGTGGAAATAGAGTAGTTTGGTCCCATGAGGCCCGTGTCTATTGCTAGCAACGCCGACCCCATGTTTGTGATGGAGTAAGGGATGAAGAAAGGGGAGATCTTCTTGTAGCCTTTTAGGACGTAGGATTCTACTCCGCTAGTGAAAGCATTTAAGCCTCCCATGCCTGATCCAACGAGCACTCCGATTCTTGATTTGTCCATCTGGAACAGGGAACATTTGTTCTCATAAAATTCACATAATTTGATGGCATAACATTCATGTCATATAACTTTTTGTATACATCTATTGTGCCTACGTTTAGATGGATAAATGAGTGCTGATTTTAGAGTGAGCTACACTCATTATTGGACAAAAGTGTTTATATACAATTAGTTTCTCTTCCGGGAATTTACTTTATATTACCCTCTCCGAAGTCATATAGAAGAGTAATCTTTTCTTGAATTTAACTTTGTCAAGCAGGAGGTCGTTGATTTTGTACAGGGGTGCGGCAGAGGCATAAGAGCATCTGGAGAATTGTCAGTCTGCTTAGTCGCAAACACGCTGCTTATTGACCAAATTTTCATTAAGCTTCAGACCATTTATCAGTTCTGATACTTTTTATTCGAATTATTGGTCATTGGTCCCTCATGAGTTTGAGACGGATACTGGCGCACATACACAATCAAATTTTCTTTCTTAAGTAGGACTTGCTAAAGATAATCTGTAATGTGTATATATTTCTACAACGTATGAGAAGACTCTTAAATTATAAGCAGCATCATTTACTATCAAAAGAAAAGCATTAGTATTTCTTACAGTGTCCAAAACTTCTTTTCCTAGATTAGCATCATCAAGAGCTCTTCTTCCAGCAACCAGGCAATATCTCCAGGCATCATCCAACCTGCGATCATTCTTCCCATCAATGTAACCTTTGCTTGAGAAATCGCGAATCTGACCACCGAACCTCACAGAGAAGGCTGAGGCATCAAATCTATCAATCAGGCTGATACCGCTCTGTCCTTCCAATAGCTTGTTGTAGAATGTGTCGATATCACTGCCAAACACTGACACAAGGCCCTGTCCAGTGATTACGATCCTCTTCTTGGGGTCCGTCTCTCGTTTCGGAGCTGATACAGTTGGGGAAGTCATCGCCCTTATCCTTCCGCATTTTGGAGCTGGATATATAGGGAAATATAAGTAGTGTCAATGTGGATTAACTAAGAACTAAGTAAAAAAGGACAATCCGAATGTTATAATGAAGGAAGGTTTGGGTATACCACCAGTGGGTGCTCGGGTGGAGAGGCAGGAAATTCCCCTGCTGACTACCCGGAGTTTGAAGCCCCATACATAGGGGTGCCAAACCGTATCCGTATCCGAGGAATTATCCGTAACCGTATCCGTTAGGATTACTCAAATCTATTACCGATAGGATATGGTTGCGGATATGGTTTTGTAGTGAAATATCCGTATCCGTATCCGAAAATATCCGAATACATATTGGTAATACTCTTTCGATAGTTTCGATTCTTAGATTATGGATTTGTGGTTAATTTTGATGATCAAGGTGTCCAATCTAAGCTTTTCAATCATAATGAACATATTAACGAACTCATTTTGTATCACATGACTATATTTTTCTGAATACTATCTAGTTTTCTCATATCCTTTTTGTATCCGCATGCATATCCGTTTATATATCTGCATCTATATCCGTAACCGTATCCGATTTTGGCGGATATGGATATGAATTTTTCTTACCGACATATATCCGTATCCGTATCCGTATCCGAGATGGGTAAGCGGATATGGATATGGTAAGTGCTATATCCGAGCCGTATCCGCTCCGTTAACACCCATACACCCACTCAACCGTCCCCTATCAGTGAGCGTGAGCATGGCGGTTACTTGGGGACCGGGGCTTTACTTGGTCAGCTGGAGCTCCTTGCTGGCGGAACGGTCTATGGGCGGGCGCCCCGCCACTGAAGGAACGGGCCCCACATGACCTTGATATTCAAGGCAGTGGTGGTTCGAACTCAGGCCAATTACCCAGTTGACGGTCTAGCTGACCAAGGTTTCCCCGTCACCAAAAAAAAAAGGATAGGTTTGGCGATAATGGTTATTTCGTTAGGGCATATTTCAATTAATCTGAATGTGGTTTCCTTTGTTTTCTTTAATAAAATTTTGATATGCACAATGTTGGTTTCACATAGCGCAAAACCTTGGATTCTTATAGATTTCACCAAAGTGTTGTGCTATGTGAATCAATTTATTATTATTATTATGGTCTACTTAGTCTAATGCATGTCAAGTCTGATCTGAACATGCATTGATATTGATATTGTTTTAACCTTTCTTCCACTATACTAAATCTAAGTTATAATTATTGGAAGATTTAAATGATTCATTGTCTTTATGGGAAAGTATCAATATTATTTGTTACCTTTAATAAAGATGTCTAGATTTGATGTATTAGTTATTTATAGTATTTCTCTATTTAGGACTTTTCTTTGGTATGTGTTTCCTTTTTTTTATTGTTGTTTTACTTTTATAGGGATTCTATGAAGTGTATAAATATGGTGTATAACCTCTTCTTCATAATCAATGAGAATACAATATTTCCTCTCTTTTTATTCTACTAGTGTGCACCCTGTGCAAAACACGTCCTTCATTTTTTTTATTTCTGTTACAATAATTCTGTATTTAAATGCAATTTTGTAAGTGCTACAGTAACATTTTTTTAATGCTACAGTATCCCGTCTGAACTACAATAACAATGTTACAACAATATTCTTAAACGCTACAATCTCGCCTGTGCTACAACAATAATGTTGCAGTAATTTAATGTAGCATAAATTGCGAATATTGGACCTGTTTGTGCTACAGTAATAATTACATATTAATTACTGTGATATTTACTGTATCATAAATAGTGAATTTTGGATCCTCCCATGGAGGAATATATTTCAACACTAATAAGTATTGAGGGTATTTCTATACTCCAACAAGTTTATAGAGTCAAAATGACTCACATTTTTGACACGCCACGAACCCAGCTGGCGTTGTTCTCATAGACATCTGTTTGCTCCCCAACAATGGTCTCAGCCCACCGTACCGCTTCAAATTGGGCGAAGCATCGGTGCTACCAATCAACGCGCTACACGAGCCTACGGCCATTGAAGCCATCGCCACTATTTCTCTCTCTGTGATTTCTCTCTCAATCCTGTTTTAGAGCTGAAATGCAAGAAGATTTAATGGGAAATGGTGATGGAGTTTTCAAGGGGAGTTCATTGTTCTGCGCTCTGAATTCTGGTTCTTGAAAACTACGGAAACTCACCAAAGCCGAGTGCGATTATCGCAATGCATGTGCATTTAACTGTGTCCAATTTTTGGGTCCCACGTAACTAAATTAGGTGATAATAAATAAAAGGAGCAGAATGTATGCACAACATTGGATTAAGATCCCATTTAATTAGGTGGTTATTTAAGAAGATTCAATTCTTTAAATTTTCATCATCAATGTTAATTTCAATGGATAAAACAATGCCACGTAGAATTCCCACGATTAAAATAGTGGTTTTCTAATATTATGCTAGATTTTGTGTTATAATTTTACTTATCATTAAATTAAATATTTCTAAAAACTAATAAATAAAATTAGAAAGTAACCCCTTCAATTAAACTCTCTAATTAGTTGTCAAATAAGCAACTTTCTATTTTGAATTTAATTTATAAAGTCATTATAATTAAATCTTGTACAAAGAAAAATAAATGGACAAGAGGAATATATTTTTATGCTCTTCGCCCTTCAACCCACTCCTCACCTGCAGTAAAAAGTAGAAATACACCTTGATAATAGTTTGATTCCACATAATATAATGTGGGCAGGGAAATCGTATTAGACTATGTTTATGTAAGGAAATTAACTTGGATTTAGTTTAGGAAAGATTGATTTGAGGGTCCCTTAATTTTCTTTGACAAATGATTATCTTGCAGTGATGTGTAGAGCAGCAGCTTCCCTGCACAGAATAATGAAAGTTAGAGGCCTGAGAGGTTGTTTCCTACGGCATGCTCTTCAACGTTCAAGTCAGTGACTAGTCTAATAATATGAAGAGAAAAGCATAATGTAGTCTTTAGGGTTTTTTTGTGCGTACCTTGGAATAATAGAGATGATGCTATTTATAGGAAGTTTATGAGCGTACTTTTGTAATTTGACTTACTAGTTGATCTGACAGCCGTCGCTTTACACGTGCTTGCAACTGATTGGTCGTGTGACGCCGCTGGTTTCACACAAGGCTGTAGTCCAAGAAGAGCCCAAAGATGTTAAATCTGCTATGCATCAAACACTGTGCATAAACATATTTCACCATTACGTTAATATCGCTCTAGCAGATGTCAAAATAAGAAGTGAGAGTACAAGTAGATATATCAAAGATAACAATACAAGAAACACAATATAGAGAAGAGACATCCAATAATAACAATAATTTTGTTCCAACATAAAAAAAGAAAATACATCTGGTAAACTGTGATAAGAACATCGAATCTCTAATACATGAGAGTCAACTAAAAAAATACATAGGCACTTAGCTTCCAAAATAAAATACATCTCTAAAAGAAAACTAAACTCATAAATAGTCTACTGTGGAGAGCTAAATAACTACTTATAATTGACAAAAATCTACACTGAGTCCCCGTCAACCTACGACTCTCTGAACCCCTAACTCGCTACCTGAAAAAGATGGAAACAACAAGCATCATAGCGCTAGCGAGAACATCTCCACCGCCTCCAGGGGGAAGAGGGTTAGGTGTATAAAAATACTAATCATAAAATATATAATAAATATATAAATCATGTATCCTGAACTAAGAGGAATTAAAATTTAGAAATCAACATCAAGAGATGAGTACATCGAGCGAAATCCAAACAATGAAACTCTCATATATATATATATATATATATATATATATATATATATATACACCATGTATCTCAAATTTTGGATCACTAAATATCAACACCAAATCCTATAAATAATTCAAGTAACAAAGAAAATACACCATCAACATCTCATCCAAGACAAGTCATATCGTAATATTTCATCCAAGGCATGAACCATTGTGTCACGCCCCGCTTCCCAAATACAGGGGAATCGGAATTTGAACAAGTCCGTGCCGTATTAGATTGAAAAGAAATATAAAGTATCATTATTTTTTTTCTTTTTCTTATCAATCCAATACGCTAAGCGTCAAATACATAAATCTCAATCACAGATCCCCGATCATAATAGTAAGAATATAAAGACAACCCAGAGAAAAAAAATAACATATCATCAATAGATCATTCCAGACATAAATATGGGTCCAACATACCCTTATTACAACAACAGTTCAACTAGGAAATAAGAAATACATAGTCCATAATAAAAAGAAATGAAATAACTAAATCTATCATCAAACTAAAGAAAATACTGTAAAAGAGTTCTAGTGTTCATCAACTATTACAGAAAGAAAAACACGTCTAGGCTTCAGTTTGTTCTTCCACACAATCGGAAGGACACTCCGACTGGGCATACACAGGCTCTGCTGCATCATCGAACTGGACCTATCCGTCCTCTACGTCTGACATACATCAGAGAAAACAGGTGTACGTCAGCGTGCATAGTACACAGCAAGATCTCACATGGAAAATGAAACGGTCGTATGACCCATGCTATGACAGTAATAATACCAATGGAAAGACAATGACACATGCAACTGGAAATCTAATAAATCAAGATGGAATCCTATACTAAACATGATAACATACAATCATATACATATAGTAACTGGGTCGAATACTAATTATCCTAAATCTCACTGGTCTACATCTCACACAGAGTCATTATTCATATCATCGGATAACTGACTGTTCATAAATCCCCTACGTGTATCCAAACCCGCGAAACGGTTCGGTGAGAGGACTATACGCAATCTGATTTCGGCCTGGTTCGAACTCAAGCAAAACTCGGGTGACGAAATGATTTCACTAACCAAGTGTGAAACGGTTCACTTGGCCCAACAAACTAACCCTAGTGCAAAACGGTTCACTGGTGCGAGTCTGGAAGATACATCAACAGTCTTATCCGATCACATGAACCATGTCTTCCCCATCCCAACTCTTCCCATTTTTCTAAGTCAACTATAATCATTATTAAAACTCGGGTTCACCATCTAAACTCAGTCAACACACTCACACATGTCACTAAGTCTGTTCATGACGCACGAGGCCACTAAGTCATGAACTACTAAAGTTCTTAATTACAACAAGAGGCAATAAATAAAACTAACTCTATACATTAATAACATAACATGTCGAACATGATTAAACAAGTTTGTAAAGCATGAATAATCATTGTAGGTAATAAAAATTACCTTAATTCCTAGCAAAGAAGCTCAAAACTGACAAAATAATGCTAATATCTCTTAAACCGTAAGGAATTTAGAAAAATGGATAGGAGCAAACCGAACCCTTTAAGGTTGGTTTGGTTGGCTCCGTCTCGTCGAGATAGTCGATTTTCATATATAATTTGTCCAACTCCGACTTACGGTTTGAAAGTTATGACCTGTTCTTCACAGCATATTTTGAAGCCCACCTGCAAGACTGGACTTCGCCTGAACATTAAAGTTTGCCTGCAATGCTAAGTTCGCCTGATAACTTAGCTCACCTGAACTGATTGAAGCTCGCCTGACAGCTTCGCCTACAAGGTTCGTCACGTAGCGAAGCTCGACATCAAAAGACGAGGTTCGCCATGCAGCGAAGCTCGACATCAAAAGACGATGTTCGTCATGCAGCGAGGCTCAACATCAAAAGACGAGGTTCGCCACACAGCAAAGCTCGACATCAGAAGACGAAATTCGCTATGCAGCGAAGCTCGACATCATAAGATGAGGTTCGCCATGCAGTGAGGCTCAACATCAAAAGACGAGGTTCGTCACGCAGGGAAGCTCGACATCAGAAGACGTGATTCGCCATGCAGCGAAGCTCGACATCAGAAGACGAGGTTCACCATGCAGTGAGGCTCAACATCAAAAGACGAGGTTCGCCACGCAGCGAAGCTCGACATCAGAAGACGTGATTCGCCATGCAGCGAAGCTCGACATCAGAAGACAAGGTTCACATTCAGTGAGGCTCAACATCAAAAGACGAGGTTCGTCACGCAGCAAAGCTCGACATCAGAAGACGTGATTCGCCATGCAACGAAGCTCGACATCAGAAGACGAGGTTCATCATGCAGCGAGGCTCAACATCAAAAGACGAGGTTCACCATGCAGCGAGGCTCAACATCAAAAGACGAGGTTCGTCACGCAGCGAAGCTCGACATCAAAAGATGAAGTTCGTCATTGAAGATGAAGTTCATCGAGAAACAAAGTTCATCATTGAAGACGAAGTTCTCCCAGAAATGAAGTTTGTCATTGAAGATGAAGTTCGCCGTTGCCATTATTGACGAACCTCATGTTGAGCTGAACCTCATCTGTCACCATTTTTCAGAGGCTACATTTAAGGAGAGTTAATGACCCATAACTCACCCATTTAAGGAGAGTTAATGATAATTAACTCACCCATTTAAATGTGAGTTAATAACCATAACTCCTTCATTATAAGGGGAGTTAAAGCCCATTAACTCACTCCATAATGGTCCTAAGCCTATAAATAGGCAACATGAAAGGAGGGGGAGAAGATTGAGAGGCTAGTCAAAAAGCCTATCTCTCCTCCACTCTCATGGATCTTCATAGATCATCGGCTGATCATTTGGCCTTTGAGCGTCGAAGCTCATAACAAGTATGACTAGGGTCGTTACAATGACGGACATCGTCTCAAACAACAAAGCTTGTCATTGGAAACAAGATTTGAAGCACGCCAATGAAGACGAAGCTCGTCAACAAAGACGAAGCTTGTCTAACGAACCTCGCCACGCAACGAGGCTCATCATCCACACGAAGTTTGGCTATAACGGCCACGATGACCAAGTCAGCACACGTGGGCTAAATCTAAGGAGTACGTTACGCTCCATTAATTAACATGGGCTAAATCTCAGGAGTCGGTTACGCCCACGACCCCACGATTGTAGCACGTCAATTACGTGCTAAAGCTCTATAAATAGCCGTAAGCAGGTATGAAGAGGGATCAGACTTTTAGACTTTTGACAATCATCAGAGATCAAAGCTCATGCATTTAGATCTGGAATTCGAACGTCGATTCCAGCCGGCTAACGAACGTGAGAAGCTTTAGAGATCTTGTCCTGATCGTCAACGGGAGGCAATCTCGACTCAAGCATCAATGGA